GTTAAGTCCAGTAAAAATTGAGAGTACAGTGCATCCTGCTGCCTTTTTCCACCTTAAACAATCACCACTGCTAAAGTTCTCCTCTGATAATCGTATGTTTTCACCTATGACGCTGTTACCATGGCAGTGTTTGCGTAGCGGCATGCTGCGGTCAGTCGCATACTGCCGTGAGGCATGGAACAGTGCGCAATACCAACATGTAAATGCTGCTTTGTGTCCTTATTAGGAATTTTGGGTCGCTGTAATTTCTGCCATACAGACATTTTTCCTCCGAACGTCGCTGTATCCTCTGAATCAAGAGGTTCTTAAGGAGATGAAATATGAATATTGCTACATGCAAGCTGGCATTGCTGCACACTGAATTGACATAAGACTGGCAACCTCACCAAAATACCCCACACTAATCAGCAAGCTTTCAGACGTGGAAGTTGCTTTGGCAGAAAGTTTGAGTAGTTGGTGTTCGTATATCGTAGAATTGCTTTCGTGTCATTGCGCAGGAGTGTTAGCTTGCTTGTAGCACATATGTAGCATTATTTTTATTTCGACTGCTAAACCCCTTATTTCAGAGGGTACAGTGACATTTGGGGGGGAAATGTACATTTATGCCATTAATTTTTCCCATAGAAAAAACTGCTTGGACCCAGAGTTCCTAATTTATGGGCATGACTCAGACTACAGAATAACCTATGACTTTAGAGGTTTATTTAAACCAATCATGTAACATTCCATTGAATTTGTGTTTTGCACCAGGAGAATTTAGTTCAGTATTTGGTGACCAAGATCGAAAGACATGAACTGTGTTATATAAGACCAAAATATTCTTGTAGGGTTTTGACCATAAGCAATCAATACTGAAGTATTTTGACATGAACCACAGCGAGCACACTGCTTTAGACTAAAAAGGAAAAAAAGTAGCCTAGTATTTTATTACACAGGACCAACCAGTGTCTCTGTAGAGACTGTGGGCCAGTGACGCACGATAACTTGATTTCAACCTAAAACAAGCAATACAATCAAGAGACAATTGTATATTTCGTACGATTTGATCGCTGGGTCACTTTGGCTCATCTTATTTATTCTGTGGCACCTTAGGTAAACACCCTCTCCTTGTGACTGAAACTTGAATAATTTAGATTTCAGTACTGAGAGAGCCTTATTTCAGTCAGACTGAATGTGAATTTGATATGTACAGGATTTGGCCATTTTGAATGGACGGGCTATAACGTTCTAGTGGATCTCGTTGTGTCTCATATTTTGAATCCAGACCCAGAGTCTATGAGACTTTTCCAAAAGTTGAGAATTTTGCTGTTACAAAAAGAGAAGCAAAAATATCTATGCTCTGATCGTGTCAGGTGGCACCCTTTTGTGTATGCATGCACGTGTGCGTGTCCGTGTATCGTATGGGTGTTGTTGAATCGCCTGGGGTCATAATTGAACCTCGTATACCTCATCGACATATCTGCAAATACTCTCGTTCTGTCTTTAAGTTGGAGGAGATGCCATCACCAGCATGTGCTGAAAGCCTGGGACCACTGCAGGGTCTGTAACATCACTCAAATCCTGTATCAGCCAATAGGATCGCGATATTTTTTATTTATTTTTATTTTTATTTGCATTAGACACACCTCTGCCTCTGCTTAAAGCCTGACCTGCAACCAGAGTCCAATTGATTTTATTAGCAGCATAGTTTTTTGAGAAGTAGTAGCATTTATTCCTACCTCTGCGTGTTACAGCTTGATGTATCAAATATTTCACCTGTCGTGGTGACAAATGGAAATATGTATGTATATGGAACAGATATATGTATAACTTATAATCAACAAGCGGTAATATAAAAGTGTGCTTGACTGTGCGTCTGTCAGTGTAACATGAGATATTAAGTGTACACAGCAGAGTACCACTGGAATGTGAAGCCAGACTGTATTAGATAATTACACTTTTTGCTTTAATCATGCTTCCCCCCCAACCCCATTATAGCTCAAATGATGTCATGTATGTTATGCTTATTGCTCTCTTCATATGTTTTTGTTTATTGTATCTGCGTATTTGCTAAAACAGGGAAGACCCAGCCTATTTCACCTTTTTATACCCCTTTTCTTCACCATTCTTTTTTTTTGGCTGTCTTTAGATCTTTAGATCCCCCCCCTCTCACCTTCTCAATGTTCACTGTGAGCCCTATGAATTCAAGTTTACAACTCATGATGTGCGTGTGTGATTCTGGGCGTTTCTGGGTTTGTGCGGGTGGGTGTTTGACTTTGGTACCGAAGCAACAACCTAATTTTTCTACTGGTGGTGGGGGTTTGAAAGGGCATAGGTTGGAGTTCTACATGCCATTCTGTTCTGATGGGGTCCAACAAAGACCCCATGCCTTACACCAAGCCGTTCCAAAACACTGCATACATTAATGTCCAATTAGCATTACCTACCGCCCATTTCTCGCATTTGACAAGAGGAACTGTTATTTTTGTCTGTTTGTTTTTTTTTTTAAATCCCAAATTCATCAGTGTCCTCGCAGCCTCAACCCCAATGAACAGCCTCGCCCTTTCATGCCTCCAACCTCAAGCCATTCATTTTTGTGTGACAATGCAATCCTGAAAGCACTTTGCCTTGTTAATTCATAGTAGAAGCTTGTAAATGGTTAATTGTTACTAACAGATGTCAAAATCTGTACATGTATTTAAGTAAGAAGGAACATTGTATCTTTGTTTTGAATTTGGCATTATACAAACTTGGTCTCTCTGACTTTAAAATACGAAGAAAAAAAAAAAAGAAAGAAAACCCATACATTTTACGTTTTGTCAGTTTCATAATATGCTGCAGCCAGTAGGTCTTGTCATTCAGTATTGTGGCTTAGGATTGGTTATGTTTGAAATAAAGTGCTATTGCTACATAAAATGTGTTGTACTGTCATTTTTAGACTTGAACGTGTCTTTTGATACTTTTGTTTATGATTTCTTTGAAAATTACAAACTGAAAGTGGGTGTGGCTAGAAAATAAGTGGGTATATTTACGGAATGCAACAGATTTCGATCTAACCAATAATTATTTTCACGTGACCCATTTTGTTATGAAATTGGTCTCACCTATTGGAAAGCAAAACACGACTGGTTGATTCATTGGTCACTTCGTTATTATACTGATTAATCTAATGCTTTACGTTTTCTTTTACAGTGTTTTCACATATAGTGCGTTTTAAAAGAACCGAACTGAGTTCTGTTAAAGGGAACCTGGAAGGAAACCAACTGCAGATGACCTCAGTTCTTTTTGTGTTCACAGTGTAAGTGAACTATAAAGAGGACTCAGTTTTCTTTCTGGTCCTTTCAGATGTCAGACCACTTAGTCAGACCACTTATTCAGACCACAACTCCATTAGAACTCGGACCCCTTTCACAGCACTCACGGTGTGCGCAGCGCTCGCAAAGTGGGCAGCGTTATCTGACAAATCTGACCTGAGAGGAACCACCAGACCCGCCTGCTACTCTCCTTTTGGCCGCGCTGAAACGACTGGCCGAAGTGCATCGCGCAAAATTGGAAAAATGCTCATCACTGAGCTCCACCCGGCGAAACTCCGCGTCAGCGGTGAATGTTCATTCATTCAGCGTTCAGTGTGAAAAAATGGCGTTGCGTGCTCAGCTTGAGCCTTTAACACGGTAAAATCATGCGGGCTCTCGCATCTTATCGCTTTAGTATGTCAGCTCTGCTGTCTGGTCTCAGATTACGGACGGGCTTTATCCTGAGTAGAACCTTAGACCACCTCTCGAGGTTCATTTCTCAGTTCGGTTCGTTTTTGGGGCCGTTTAGAGAGGAGTTCGTTTGGCATGTTTCACGTATGCAAAAGAAACCACGACTCAGCGATCTGAGTCCACTTAAGATGCTGAAACGGCCCAGGTGTGAAAACGCCCTTAAGCTCTTGATGCTGTATCCAATAGGAGAGCCCGCTTGGCTAAATCTACCCAGATACCACAGAGAAATATCATTCCTGATTTGGCAATTTTTTTTGTTCAGTGGAAGAATTTAACCCTTTTTATTTCCATTCAAAACTTAACAATGAAACCGGAGTACTACTGGAATACTGTAATGAGTTTACATACAAGCATAATTCTGTTGGAGAAAAAAACGATGAAATAAGTTACAGACCTGTATTGTTAGTCTCCAGAAGTCATTTTTCTCTGAATGATTTCTCTCTCGTCTTATTTCTAATACATTCATAAACTGCTCAAAGGTTTCAGTGCATCTGCTCAAAACCTTTATCATTATCTATGCTTTAAACCAGGGGTGCCCAAACCTTTGGGGCCAAAGTGCAATGGTTTTGTAGCCAAAGGCCAAAAAGAAAGAAAAATAAACAAAGTTGGAGGTTTAAATTAAGTGTCTAAAATGCATTTGATAACATTACACTATATTTTTATACTAAAATACAGGCCAAATCAAATGTTCACGCGGACCAGCTTTGGTCAGCCTGTTTTAAACTCTATAAACCTGTGTTAATTTAATTTCACACTTATTTCATATCTGTGCTTATATAAGCAATGAATTATGTTCATGACTGATATTTGTAAGTGGAAATATAGTTAAGTTCACACATTTCCTGTTCTTTTTGTAATAAGACAAACTTCTTGTCTCATCTGATCAAATGTTATGGTCTACTCTTGATATTGGAAAAGGCCTTAAACAGATCTTTATAATGTTTGCATAAAGATTGTTTTCCAGATAACCATAGTGTGAGGACAGAAAGGATTTTCAAGAGACGGATGTCATGGTAATCATTCCCTGATTTAGTGTGGGCAGAAGTTTTCAGCTACAATATAATATTTAAATATAGGATTTAAATTTGTTCATTTGAATAAAGCTAATAATACACTCTCAGAAATAAAGGTATGAAACTGTCACTGGGGTGGTACCCTTAAGGGTACATCTCAGTACCTTTAGTCAGGGAACATAATTGTACCATAATCCATTAAAATTGTATTTTCAAATTTGTATTGACTCCACACACCCTGTCTCGTCTCCAGGCTTTTTATTTTATTATTCTGTTTTAAAATAGGTTATGAAAAGGTACACATATGTACTTTTCCACTGGGAAAAACTAAGTACACAATGGGACCATAAAAACCACTGTTGTACCCACCACCCAGCACCCACATCCACAAATGTCTGTACAGGTATACCAGAAGGCAAAGGCCATTACTGCATTTGCATTTTCATTTCGAGACAGAAGTATGAGGGGGAAATTCACATTCAAATATAAGAACACACTCATATTTTACATATTACATTTTGATTTGAATTGTCCTCCAGGCAATCAAAATACTTAATCTTTAGTTAAGTTTCTGGGAACCTGCTTAAATAATAATAAATGGAACTTATTCGGGATCAGTTGATGTTAAAGTTCATTTTTGGAACAAATTTACCTGAAAGCCCCTGATGGGAAAACCCCTTTAAATTTCAACTATATCTTCTAATTGCAATTTCTTATCACTTCCTAGCATAAGTCACTGCTGATGTAACTACAGCTGTATACAAAAGTTTATGTACCCTGATAAGTGAAAATAATTAAGCACATTCTCTACAGAGAACACACTTCTTCTTTAGTGCACAATTACTGTTTATTTGCTGAAATCAACATAATGGGGGGGGGTTAAATGTAGCCTGTGCAAAAGTTACAGTATATTTGGCAACATGATTTAAAAAAATCATAATCGAAATGGTGTGAAAACTTTTTCAGATAAATGCCATATTTAAGTGTGTTCCCTGTACTTAATGTCTCTCGGAAAATCAACAAAACGTAATTTTGCTGGGGGTGCCCAAACTTTTGCATACAACAGTAACTACATGAGAAAATCTGTATAACGGTACATTTATTAGTTGACATCCTTCAAACTGCATAGTTAAAAAATGAGATTTATAACAATACACAATCTGTTCCCGTAAACTGTGAAGTATATACAGAGTGATGACAAAGTTAATGTTTGAAACTACCAGTCATGAGGTTTTATATGATGATTAAAAAATTAGTCATTTAATCACATAATTATGAATAAATTAACCCTATCTTGCCCCAGCAATGACATCGGTCCTACATTGGTGCATGATTAGATGTTTAAAAATGCAAGATTAGTTCCTTAAAACTTGATCTTATAGAATTACACTTAAACAGTGAAACTTATGCGGCCTTCACAGAACGTTCTTGACAAAACTGCTTGTGGTCAGGCGAGCTCTCAATGCTTTCAGCAGCCTTGCTTTAAAGTAGCACAGTGTCCATTTGGAATATTCTTAAAGTTATTCTTGGAAGGCGTGGGTGCCACTCTCAGTATACTGTTCCAGTAGTGCCGTTTTCATCATCTCATCCGTCCCCCATGCTCACAGCAATGTCCTCCTCAAAGAGGGCAATGCACAGCATAATGATGCCCCCTACCAGCAGACCCGCACACTGCAGCAGGAAACGCTTGAGAGGACCCATCGAACCACGTTCCCCATGCAGCATCTCTGGCATCTGTAGAGAGACAAAGAGTTATCAATAGATGTCAATCCGTTTAATATGTGTATGAAATAGTATGATGCAAGCATATAATGTACAACAGGGTTCATTTGAATGTAAAAGAATAGTTCAGCGAAAATAAAACACATTTTAAGTTTACAGTTTTCCACTAACCGCAAACGTAATCATTCAGCCAAGACATGTTTGGCAGCAAGTAATGGAAGCTTGTAATTCACTGATTAACGCTTTAAACATGCAGAGGGTTCTTTAAGTGTTCATGGCCCTATACAGAACCATTTTCTTTACTAAAGAACCCCTGAAGAACAATTTTACAAGTGTACAAGCACTTTGGGATGGGCAGGCTGTCGAGTATCACATCTGTGCTGTGCCTGTTAGCGTCTACATCAGTGGTACAGAAGTGGATTATTTATTCCAGTGGGGAGATTTCTAATGGTTGTATGATGTATTTGCGTAGTGCACTCTGGGTATTGTAGTGAGAGAAAACTGCTGGATTAAACATGAAAAGGAAACAAAATAGTTAATTCTGTCAAACTGATGAGGCTGAGAAATAATGCTACACTACTGAATAATACTTACTACAACAACTGGCATATTAAATGCTAGCTTTTGGCAGGAAAGACCCTTTAACTGATCTCAAACAGACTTGTTTATGTGGTTACTGACACTGAATGACAGGGATAAAAATGGACATTGCATGGTCATAATGATTTAGGCTTGCAATGCTAGTTGGTCGGGTATAAACTTCCATTACTTGTTCACTACATTAGCCTTGTAGCTCCTGTACTGAACTGAAGAATCATACTTTGGACACCAAATGTCATGGCTGATCACATTTTGTGTTCAATCAGAATTTTCAAACTCAAGGGTCACCATCTCTTTGCTAATCTTGACCACTGATCAATTTTTAAAAGCTTGTATATTTGCATAAAAATGCACTTTTGTCTTCAAGGCTTGCTATAAACCACATTTTCCCTTTCTTTATGCTGTGATGATCATTATCCACAACAGCGACCCTGCTATTCTCACCACGTCTGCCAGAGCCACATAGAGGAAGACCCCAGCGGTGATGGTAAGGATCCAAGGTGAATGCTGAGCCCACTGATGACCCAGTACTGTTCCCCCCAGCACTCCTACGTAGCCCAACAGAGCCGAGAGCACACTAAACACGGCCAGTCTGCGCACGGGCCAGCCTGCAGCCAGCAACACCGCCAGGTCACCTGAACAGGGCAGAGGAAAGGTTAATGTGCAACTATATCATGGTCTACCATAAACAAAGTGCTAGAATTTTTTTGATATACACACACACTTCAAAATGATGGTTCTTCGAGGGTTCTTTCGCAAAGAAAATAGTTCTACATAGAACGATAAACACCCAGAACGTTTTGCATGATTAAAGTGTTCTTTGAATTGGAGAAAGGGTTCTTTAGATTGACAGAGAATGTGCTATAGATGGTTCTATATAGAACTTCTCAGAAAAGGGTTCTTCTATTATTGCGAGCTTGAAGAAGAACCTTTTTTGGTGCTATATAGAACCCTTTACAGCACATTCTCCTTCAATCTAAAGAACCCTTTTACAATGCAAGGAACCGTTTAATCATGCAAAGGTTTTCTTGAGTGTTCATTGATCTATATAGGACCATTTTCTTTACTAAAGAACCCTTAAAGAACCATCTGTGTATGGCAATGTTTTCTGTATGCTTGATATTAAATGTTTATGATGTAAACCCCTGACAATTATAAGAGGCTATGCATGTAATTCATGCTGAACACATTTCATGGCTTGGAAAGGCTGTCTTTAAAGCTATAGTCTGGTGGAAAAAATGCAATTTCACCCCTTCTACACTAAATGTAGTAGATCAGCCACAACATGTTTGGCATCTGAAGATTGCTTCTTTAGTCTTCCCCAGTACCTACGAAGCTTACATAGCTAACAAGTAATAGAAGCTCATATCCCACCAGTTAGCATCATGCAAACTGCATGCATAACTATGCTGAGTTCTGAATGAGTTCAATGTTGTTTGCCATGTAATGTAATATTGTGTAGCGCAGCATTATATCCCTCAGCCTCATCAGTTTGACAAAACTCATGATTTTATACATTTCAGTCAGAGAAAAGAACCCAAACTGTGGCAAGGTATCCAGAAAGCCAGTCATCTTGATAGCTTTAGCTTTTAGCTGTCGTCTGAGTAATCTGTTCTCTTCATTGTAATAATGATTTGAAGACAGTTACTACTCTGCCTTCTATCTGCGTTCACCAGCTAATGAAAGGGGGTCGACATTTTGAAACAGCCTGCCTCCAAAAATTCATTGTCGTTTTTTATAAGATCCTCCCACCTTCAAGACACATCATTGCAAGGAGGTTTTCCTCATCTTTAAACCACAAAAAATCACTCTAAAGACTGCTGTGGCACTGCCGAAGGGTGCAAATAAGCAAGTTTACAATATATGTAGCGATGGTCATATTTTCAGTTTTGACCGAAGTGTCCCTTTAATAATCTTAAATAGACTTGCTTATGTAGTTCTGACCCTGTAGAATTAATTATGTATGGAAAATTTGTTGCATATCTAAATACAGTAGAAACAGTCGTTGTAATAGTTGTAGCATTAATGCAGAAGCCTAAATTTTCAATGTACTTTTGTCAAAACTTCACAACAAAACATGACGGAATACTTTTGGTGAAGGTGTGAAATTCTGCTCATTTAATTTTTCAGAACTATCATTATAAGGACATACACACCCTAAATAATTGAGAGTCTATGCGTGAACCCTGCCCGAACTGTAAGTCATACCTAGTTCATGAGGAAGCTCATGGCAGAAGACAGCAATAGTGGTGCTGAGTCCTCCAGTCAGGCTCTGAGAGAACGCAACACCTGGAAGAGAAACAGAAAAAAATATATATGTTTAAGACAAAACAGATTTTTACACACAAAGTAGTGAGAGAGCAGCGAGAAAAAAGCCCTATGACATGTGGGTGGACATTTGGGAAAAGAGCTTATCTTAACTCACTCAGTACTACGCACCAATAGCCAGTCCATCGGTCAGGTTGTGTATCCCGTCTCCCATGACGACCATCCAGGCCACACTGCTGAGGCCCGAGGATTCGCGGGCAGGCGGAGCATGAGAGTGAGCATGAGAGTGACCATGACCGGACTCAGAGCTGACTGTGTGCTCAGGAGGAGAGGAACCTGCTGAAATGTGCAATAGAGTTTAGAACTTAGAGCAAGAATCTGGTAAAAAAACTGACTTAAGATAACATCAAACTATCAGAAACCACATAAAGGGGCACTCCAGCCAAAATGTAAACAGTAAGCTTTAATACCTCTGCTGTAAACATGCCTATCCACCTATTCACTTTTTCTTCTAGCTAGCTAATACAAAAGGAATCCAGATAGCTAACGTTGCTACTAGGAAGCAGAATATCAGTCAGGATTTCTTTATTGCTGTGAGGAGATTTCCTATGGTTATTTAATGTATTTGCATAATGCATGCAGTGTGTTGTAGTGAAAGAATGATAAATGAAAACTTAAAAAGAACAAAAAATAGTAAATTTTGTTGAACCAGTGAAGCTGAGGGATGCCCTTTAACCAAATCTAGTCAGAGATTACTTTACAACAAACCATATTGAAAAGTGATACACTAATAACCATGACTGAATTATGTCTTTTGGGCAGCAAATTTGGCAACAGAAATAGAATGTATTTAGTCATAATTATAGGCATTTTCTAGTATTCTATGTTTGTCCTCATCCCTTAGAACTTACCCTCCAGTACCTCCAGCTCCTGAACCACTTTTGCATCCTGCTTCCTCTTCCTTGATTTCTGATTAAAAAAAAATTCTAAGAAAATATCATCTTATTTACAAGTTCAGTTATTGAGTGAAAGAACATGCCATCTGAGTGCTGGAGAGAATCTTACCTTGTAGTGTTGTCTGAGTCTCACCACACTCTCAAACACAAAGAGCAGGTAAACTCCCCCCAGCACACTCAGGCCTTTCAGAACAGCGTCCTGGTGATCACTGTGTGGTCCAGAGCTGGCCTGAGAGACCACAGGTCTAAAGTCATTAACTACACATGACTACATTCATACTTCTTTAGGATGAAATGATGGGGGGCACATAAAAAGGATAGTTTGGTGACATATATAAAAATATATAAACTCTCCCCTTAGTTCAGTAGCAAACCTTGACTGTTAGTGCTAGGCCTTTAGTTTGCCATTAGTGTCAAAACCTGGTGAAAAACAAGGGAAAAAACACCTCTCCAACAATGCCAATTTCTGCTAGCACCCCTATGGGATAGCACTAAGCTAACAGAAATTCACATGGATGATTTTTTGGCTGTTCCAGGTTAATCACAGACATTTGAAGCTTGTAAAAAAGACCTTTCATTTTTTATTTACAGCTTGTAACAGACATTTTAACACATGGTTTACTTTCAGTAAAGAGTCCTGACATAGAACTGCTGCTGTTTCTAACAACTGACTGTACTGCACTGATCAGGCTACCACTGGTACTCACAGTCAGGGATGTGTCTAGGGGTTCCCGAAGGCCTAGAGTAACATTTTTGGCCCTCACAAAATTTGTCCCACACACTAAATCAATACGTCATTAGCTGATTCCACTACAACTTCCTAACTATACTGGTAGATATCCTAACCTTTACGGCCCTCAGTTCAGCTTGGATAGGGTTACCAAAGAGAGAGCTCGCTTAGCCATATCTACCTAATTTTTTTTTTTTGTAGCATTTCAGGTTCTTAAGACTTTCAACTTTATTGATTTCCAACTTAAATTAACAATGAAATCAGACTATTACTACAATACATGCAGTGTTTAAATACAACAGACATAATGATCATATTAAATAAAAAATGAGCTGGCTAAGTATTTTTAATTTCACAGAAATCATCAGGCCTTTTCTTAAAGCTTAATCACAGACTTGCCTCAAACCTTGTTGACAATGTATATTAAAACTGTTTTAGCTTCGCAGTGTACTTTTAATGTTAAACACCTATATATATGAGTTATATAAAGTTTTTTTGTGTACTAATTTAGTTTAAATTTAAATTTTAAGTGAAACAATTTAGGCATGCAGTTTCTAGTTTGATAACTGGTGCACGTAAATTATCATTACTTGTTAGCTACATGAGCCTCGAAGCTCCAGTGCAAAACTAAAGAAGCAAACTTCAGACACCAAACATGTCTTGGCTGATTGACTACATTTGGAATTAGAGGGAAAATGTATAGATTTGATTGACTGAACTAGTCCTTTATGTTTAAACACCATTATGCCCTCAGAAAATTCTGGTCACTCACTTACATGGGGCAGTAGGTGCAGCAGGGCATCTCCACAAAGAGTGCCCACTGCCATGGCAGCCATGGGGCAGAGGAAGGTGTGGAGGCTGGAAGGTGGAATCAGGGGAGCCAGTCCCAGGGCCAGCAAGGAAGGAAGGCTGATCACAAACAGCGCCAAGGAGGCCCAACCTAGAGCTGTGATAGAACATAGAGAGTATATTTTATTTCTTAAAACTCATTTAACACATCAGAACTAGATTTAGTATCTAGGGTGAGACTGATTGCTTATCTAATAAACTCTATACTCCAAAAACTAAAGGAAAAATATTTGAATTACAGACATACGTCAAATTACATAAAGTGATCTTCAAATTTGGTCCCACTGAAATTTTGTTGTTGCTTCTGAAGACCACTTCGCAGGTGTGATTTTATGCACCAAAATAAATTCTTCTGTACCTCAATAATGTCTCTATAACACACTGTTCGCAGAAACAACACTCTGCATCACTTCAGCAAGAATGAGCAGCTAAACCACTGTAGGCTGAGTGGGCATTTATATGTAAACGTATTCATGATTGTGACGTCACAACCACATTGAATTCACAATGGATTGTTTTTGCACTTAGTTTTCATAAATGGACTGTTTGGACTCACGAGTGAATGATGCCCTTTGAAACTACATAGGGATGCACTGATATGAGATTTGCTGTTATTTGTGATAAAGGTTTTTTTTGTATTTTTGAATCAACTAACAGTTGTAAAATTTAGCATATAACATGATCACATCACCAGACTCCAGCCGACTGTTAACTGTATTATAATGGCTACTAGCTACGTATAAAAGCCACTATACATTCGATACTCACCTTTGAGGAAAGCCACACTATTTTTGACTTCTTCCAAGTCGGACTCTGTGTGGCGGAGACACACGCCACTGTCTATCTGGTAGAGCAGTGCGGGGCACAGGAAGGTGAAGTGCGCGGGGGTGATGTGGGACGCCTCACCCAGGCCAAAGTTCCACAACAGCTGGGTGACATTCAGACACTGTGGAGAGAGAAAGCAAAGAAGGCATCAGTGGCTACTCTGATAGGGAAATTATTACATCCTGATTTACTCAAGAAAATGTGATTACACTGGAAATTCTAAAACTGCATTGACAGTTTTGCAGCAAACTAATTTACACAGTCTCTCTTACACCCAAATATAGTGAATCAACCAAGAAATGTGTGCTTCTTCAGTTTTGCACTGGAGCTACAAGGCTAATGTAGTTAGAAATGTTATGTAGCAACAATTATCCATGAATAATTTCAAAATAGGCTGTTTTTTTTTCTTTTAGTTCCTGTATGGACTGTTTGTTTGGAGTGAACAATACGTCTTGAAACCTTATAGGGACGCTCAGATGTGGGAATTGTGGGCCTATGCCAAATTTTGTATGTACTTGTATTACACTGTATCTGCTGATGTGGATACCGATGTGCAGCATAAGCATTATGAACGTGGAAACTGGGACACCTGGATTAGCATTACAGAGAATGTAAAGTTTGTTTTTAAAAGGTTGAGTGCATTATTAATACAACGCAAACATTTTAAAGCAGCACAACCGGCAAAGAAATGTTTGCTTCTTTAGTTCTGCACTGGAGCTATGAGGCTAATGTAGCTAACAGAAAGTTACGTACAACAATTAGCATTGTGCTAACTGCATGCATAAATCATCACAAACCTGCCTCAAACAGTGTTGAGTTGTTCGGTAACCTCATAATTGACTTGCTTGTGGTTTCCGATACAATATGACATCCTGCTACTTATAGAAATGGGCAGTTGTTTACTTGTAAACTTGTCTTAGCAGATCGACTACATTTGAGTTAAATGGAAAATTGTGTACATTGAATTTTTTACACAGCTATCAAAATGCAAAAGCTCTTTATCTTTTCCAGATAAGGTCTAGAGTGAATGATCATTTATTTGAGTAAAGGTATAAACAATCCCAATTTGCATGTGACTGACTGTGACACCTTATGGTGATAAAAGATCTTTGATCACCTGATATCAGAGACGTATCAGGCATGAACTTTGATCATGTAGTATAGTCTTCTCCATGCAGTTTGGCAGTTAGCACTCACATTGTCATGGATGTGTTTCTTTGTTATGTGACTCGACAGCAGTGACAGGCCATCCTGCAGTCTTTCTTCTGTGCCAGGAGAAGCTGTGTGTGAGGGATGTGAGTGATCTTCCCCTCCTGCAGATCCGCTGGCCACATCGGTTTCAGCACTGGACATTGTTTCTTTTGGTCGAATTGCCTCATGTTGACTTAATCTGTGTGAGGAAAATGAGAAAAAACATTTGAACAAAAATTTTCACCATCTGCCATGAATAACAATGAGTAGAAGCTAGTAGCCACCAATTAGCCTGATGTCAATAAAATAATAGTATATGGTTGTTATATGATTTTATGCATGGTTAAAGGGGCACTCAGGCCAAAATGAAATATTTAAGCATTGCTTCTTCTGTTGTAAACATGCCTACTTGCTTCCTACAGCGGTGCTGCAGTCGGAGTAGTCTCTAGAGTGAGTTTCTGGTGTAAGTAATAGGAAAACCCCCATTTGATGATGTATCTTGAAGGTGGGAGGGACGCTTTAAAAAAAACTGCAAGCACCGTATTTTTGAGGGTGGGCCTCTACTATTAGCCTCTACATCACTAGATTTATTTATTGCTGTGGGGGGTTTTCTATTGGTTGAATGACATATTTACGTAATGTATGCTGGGTGATGTAGTGAGAGAACACTGATGGATTACAAAGGATATACCTCAAAACAAAAGTATCTCGAAGACATTACTGGCATAATGCTAATGGTGGCTATAGAATTTCATTCACTGTTAGTAAGAACAGAATTTTGTGACTAAACCATTTCCTCAATATCCTATAAATATCATACAATTAGGACTCTGTACAGTAATACATAAAAGCAGAAATTGTATACTGTGTACTCAGTACATAAAATACAGTTGGAACTGGAAATCTGTACACTTAAAATCTGATCAGTCTCTTACTTGTTTAATGTTGCTGTGCTTGAGGCCTGATGAGGATGATGATGATGGTCTACATAGGAGTGTGGATGAGAATGAGAGGGGCTCGGAGATGAATTCTTGACAACACCATGTCTAATCTCCAGCACGCTGATCTCGCCGAGTCCCAGACTGCCCAGCAGTTTGTGTAGACCCTCATACGTCAAAGTCCCATTGCTGCCGTACTCCAAGAAAAGTCGCTGCAGGTAGTAGCCCTTGCAGAGAAGACGTGTGCAAACAGTAAAAAACAAGTTCAAGAACACCAGCATTTTCAAGGACAATAAGAATGTGCTCACAGCCTCTTTATGACAGGTCGATAGGGTCATTCACTAAACGTGTGGGACTGTGTTTAGACTGAAATCCTTACATATTTCACCACATGTGCTAAAGCTAACCTTATGGATTTGGAGGAATTGCACCACAGTGCAGATAACCAGTCCCAAGGGCTATGGATAAGAAATGAAAATAAGCTAAATTGTGATATAATATGAAAAAAGAGAGGAAAAATGTTCTCTCATCAGCTTTAATATATATATAAAATGATAGCCATGTTTAACTTTGCTGATTTACTTATTTTACTACTATTTCTTAATGTCATTTAATTCTTTGAAAGCATCCCATAAACACATCAGAACTATTGTTTTCAATTAAAACTGAAAAATGCCACTAAAGAAAATAAGTAATACATAAATAAACAAATAAATACATTCATACAGTTTGATCTGTAGTCTCAGTGTGCTTACCTGCTCTTCAAAAGCCTCATCTAAGAGCTCTTGTGTAGATGCATCTTGGTCATAGGAATGAGAAACTGAGCTGTGTTTGGATAAAACCACCATAAAACTCAGGCAAAGCTGAAGCACAAGCTTGAAGCTCAGGTACGTCCTAAAGGTAAGCAGCAGAGAACTACAAATTAGCATAATATTTAGCTCTGAAAAGCTGTTTTATTAGACAAAAATAAGTCATGAGTGATCTATTTTGTTCGAAAGTCAAACACAAGCTTGAAGCTCAGATACATCTTCAAGGCAAACAGCAACTATCATAATTGATGAATATGTAAATCTATTTTTTCAAGCCAAAGTAAACTGGAAATTAGTATCTAGACAACAGGAGGTAGAACTAAGTCTCAGCTGTCCAAATATCTACAGCAGTTGTTGCATGGTGTTTTTTGTATTTCCTGCCACACTGTTGAACTAAAATGTATTGAAACTCTGTGATTAAGTCCAAGAAATGAATTTAGTATGATAGATGCAACAGAACTTTAGATAAAATCTATATATTCTGTTACAAATCAGCCCTACATGACGAAAAAAATGAATTTGGTATGATAAATAAAAGGCTAAAAATTAGCTCTATGTTTTAGCCATACTCAGAGAACACAAAGAACATATGGACCAAATGAAATTTTGTATTTCAGTTATGAACATTAATGGGTTAGATAACATCTGTGAACAGTCTTTCTTTACTCATTAGACGCTTAATATAGAAATAACTTACCTGTGATTTGGCTCCTCCATCATTTGAGGAAACAAAACAGCGTACAATGTCTGGCTATCACATGTTGCCCATTCCTTTATGCTCCCAGATGGGCAGCACAGCACTGAATGATCAGCACGGCACTGAAGAGGCTCTAGTTAATATTTACACAGTGTTCAAGTCAGTCACCAGAGGTCAAGCAGGAGCAACACGTTGATCAGCTTTGTTTATTTTGTTATCTTCTCAAGGGATTCGCAGGAGTAGGCCAATCAGCAGGCAGCAGTGAGAATGATCATGCATAGCTATTCAGTTAGGGGTCTGAAAGTAGGCCACTGTTGCCTCCTCAGTCTTTTACCATAATGATTATGATTACTGAGACTATGACAAGTAGTAGAGCAGTGATTTCCCTGATCTGATACACTTATGATTATGTGATGAGTTGATAATTAACTGATGAGTTGGATAAGGTGTGTTGAGTAGGGACTCACCAAACTTTTCTGACCTCTGACCTTGCAGAATTTTAGGTTCTGAGATAATGCAGGTGTGGTGAATACTTGCTAGTCTACTTGTTACTGTACTTAAGTATTACTGACACTGAATGCTTTCATTCTTGCTCGTTTATCTTTTCCACTTTTTTACTCCTTACATTTTCATTTAGACCTTCAAAGTACTCGTTAAAAAATCTCAAAAGGTCAGTTATGTGCCTGTTCATTTTGAAGTTTTTTTTTTCAAATCCATATCACTGTAGAATGAAACAGCCCATAAATATGCTAATTCATCTTTGTACAAAGACCAGAGTGGAGGGGTTTGTTTAAGACCTGCCTGACCAACATGGTGGAGAAGAAAATATTCAGGTGTAAGTTTAAATGCACTCATTCATATAACTAAGCAGCATTATGCTTGTAATCTTACAGAGCCCCGCCTGGTGACATCCTGTATAAATAAAAATAATGCGTGGCCACGACTTAGTAAAGCGTGGGAACGAGATCCTGATGCATGGCCACGACTTAGTAAGCTGTGATCTCATTCCCACGCCTTAATAAGTCGGGCCAACGCATTAGGATCTTGTTTCCATGCGTTAATAAGGCATGGCCACGCATTATTTTTATTTATACAGGATGTCGTCATCAGGGCTCCGTATAATCTTAACTGCTATATATAAGCAAATATTTTAAAGAAACAAGGATGCCGGTTATAGCACATGCATAGCCCGTACGTCACTCGAGTCTGTCCTAAAATGACGCTTTAAAACCTAATGGCCTTAAAGGGCCTGTATCATGGAAAACCAAATTTCCTTTGCTTTTTTAATAAAGAAGTTTGAAGTAATGCATAAGCAATATCAAAGTTTCAAATCATACTATTCACTATTAGGCCTGGGCGGTATCTAAAAATAATTAGCACGATATCTTTAGTTTAAAAATCGCGATTATGAATAATATCACCCCCCTCCTCCAAAATACATTCGGTCTGCAGCAGCTTTGACCTACTTTGTATTCTATTTTAGTCTTTATGCTTTTATTATGTTAACCGTTTTAATGAAAATCTTTAATAAAACTCACACATTAAATAATGTGATACTCAGTAGCCTAACATCATTTGAGAACCTGTCATTATAATAATCGTTACTGAGAGCACGTGCTTTCACGGGCTTCTTCTGCTGAAGATTCGCGGCGACTTGCCTACTAACAGCGCTCCCTGCTGGAATAACTTCAGACCGCAAGTGATTTCCAAAGCCACGTCTTCGCGCTTTCCACAATAAAAACAAGGCCTTTTCGTCTTTACAGTGGCGTTTTTATAATTCAGCTAAACACTGGGACACTTAATATATACAGACAATACTGCACACCTGTTATAGACCAGGATCAGAGGGATTTTCTCTTCAGGTTAGAGTTAACTTAGCTGCTCTATGCTAACTTTCAGTCATTTTAGCTTTTTTACCACAGCGAGTCACATTGAGGCGAACTGAAGCTACAAAGCACGTCGGTATTCATTAAGGGGAATTTGTGCGGTAAAGCTAGTCTTACAATCCTTAGTGGAGAGAAAAAAACACAGGCAGTTTCTTAACATCTCTCTCTCTCCTTGATGTCGCAAGAACCAACTCATTCACATGCCATGGCAGATTAGCCCCGTCCATTCACGCTGAAGTTATAAGGAGTGTTTAAGCCTGAAGTGTTTATTGAATTATTGACGGTCTTAAAGGCACAGTAACGAAAAGCATTCAAAATAAAAAAATATATGCTGGAAAATTTTCTCGTGTATAAAACCACATATATGCCATAAATGGAGACACTGCTGAAAAATACCATAGAAACCATTGAGTGGTTCTGTTGGTTTTAAAGGTTTTGTAATGTGTCTTGGCTTTTTTAATTGGTTGATATCACAGTGTAAAGGGTCTTATTGGTTTAACAGGTAACCAAAGGCTGATTCTACATGCAAGTTTTAATCCTAACTGGTTCTAATGGACTTTTTCAGCAGAGGACAAACATGGGCGATTTAATATTATTTGCATTCATTCTAATATTATTGTTTTTCTCACCAAAAAAAAAAAAAACAATTACTGGATAGATTTGAAAAAGGTACAATATATATATGAAAATGATACAAATATATATATAAAAAATAACTAAATTTAGCTCTTGTTCAGTGAATTAGCTGGTGTGGATATGGTAATGTATTTCACAAAAAAAAATAATAAAAAAATAAGAGAGAGTTGATTACATCCCTTACCTTTTTTCAGATCTTTATTAGATGTCAAACCCAAAATGATAGGTTTGATGTTTAGTTAAAATTAGCTCTGATTTTCTGAAGCAGACTGACCCACAGAGCTGTACGGGACGGACTCGGCTATAAGTGACACACATCCGTTCAGCTAAGGAAGAAAGACAGAGAGGTATCGTCTCACAGCTCACAGATTGAACCAATGAAACTGGGGAAATCGAAATAATCGCGTCAAATCGAGGACGTACATGTCTGCAAGAACAGGTACTGTCACTGCTGGGGTTGTATATTTGAAAGGTTAAAAGATTTTCAATCCGTTAAAGTCTAGATAGCAGACTGACTGTCTAAGAAAAGCAGTCATCTGGCAAGAGGGACGCGTTAGCTGGCTGAGGTCTTTTCTGTTATACCTTGGTGAAGGGTAGAGAGCGGAGGACAGAAAATAAAGTAAATAAAAATATATATGTCAGATACTTAAATATGCCTTTCTTAGGACTGAACAAATGGTCTGTGGTTTGCTTTAATGTAAAGTAACGTCTGTTCAGCCTTGTGAGGCAGTCTTATGTTGCTAAGTGGTTAGCTTAGCATTAGCTAGTTACATGGTAACGATATTTGCTGACGCAAATAGCTGATTTATAGGTTTTTCCTCATACTTTTTTGAGTCACTGCTTGAATAATACACTACGCGCAGATTTAATACAGTTTGTATACCAGTTCGGGTAAAATGTATTGGATATTTGTTCAGTTTTCGTTTCTCCAAATGCTTTTCAGACAACGTTAGCTCGCTAGGTAACGCTAGCTTTGGTAGCTGCTTTCTAGCAAAGGTTTGGTGACGTTAACCAACCAAATACCAACATTTCACCCTGTTTATCAAGAACCAAGTTTGTAAGAATGGGTTTCTTCACTGAGATATGTGCAACAGAGTTAAGTAGCGGTTAAGGTTGATTTTTAAAGGTCTGCCTTAGCTGGCTAACATTTAGCTGGCTTGCCAGTGTCTAAAAGTAGCTAGGTTAGCTAACTTAGCTGTGTGGATAACGTTAACTAACGATCGTTATCAGCTTTGCTTGCTGTTGAATCCAGGAGTACGTTGTTAAATTCTTTGTATTTTTGTCCATTTCTTTACACGGGTCAGATTAAGGCTAGCTTGGTCAGTTATGATGAGCTGACACTATTAGTCCAGTAGGTCGCATACCTTGCCTTGTGTCTGTCGCACAACACGCAAGTAAAATAATGATGGTCCACTTGTTTAAAGGGGACTTCCACCGATTTTTCAAAACTGCTGTATAATTCAGTTGTTAAGATGTAAAGAAGGTCCTTCAGAGTGGTTTAATGAGAAATGGTTCACTGTAGAGACTCAGATTTCTTTATAGTAGTGGTGATTGGAACCAGGAGTTATGATGTCTGCAACACAAATGTAGCCATTTTATTTACTATCCAAAACGACCAGCGTACCTACACGTGTCTTCTGAGCTTTTGTATGTAATATTGATGATGCTGAACTGACATGGCGTGAATAATACATTTTCTTTGGCAACTATTTTGTCTCACAACACCCTGCTGGTATCCCTCCCCCATGAATAGATCGTAAAAATACATTTCAGGCCAAATCCTTCTCTCAAAACTAGCATAAAACAATATCTCAGACATCAGGCAGCAAATTCATAACCATTTTAATTTGTAACCTTTCTGTGACGTAGCTTTCAGAGGCATTAAATGCTTTGGACGTCTGGTTCTTATCACCACTGCTGTGAACAATTCTCAGTCAGTATGTTTCTCTAGATTCACATCACACCCCTCTAAATGGCTTTGTTTACATCATAAAGACTGAATTGTGCAGAAATCGTGAAAAATCGATGGAATTCCTTTTTAACTGCTTTCTCTATTTCACTTTTCAACCAAACTGTCCCAGTTCAGGGACAGGAGAATAGTTGTCTAGCATGTGGTTTCTTCATGAACCTGTCAAAAAATATCCTTTTAAACATTATTATGCACAAAAAATGTGCTAAAAGCTTAAGGTTACTGCCAACATATCCTTGATGTTTGAGTTGATATTACCCTTTTATGGCTGCTGAAACAGAAAATTATTTGTACCATCTCAAATATGTAGAGGCATAACCAGTAATGTAGTTTGTAAAGCTATAAAATGGCTCACTTGGGATGCAGTAGGCTGTTAGCATACATTTTCTATGTGGAAATGCTAAAATTATTTGAATGTGAGTAATACAGTTACAGATAGAGCATGAATGGTGACAACTAGCTGGAGATGAAAATAAGCATACTACCCTTATGTTGTGAAGTGAAAAAAATGTAAAGAAACAGTTCACAGAAAAAAAATCCCTTTGACCCAGATTTAGTCAGTCAGCCAAGATATGTTTAGTGTCTGAAGTTTGCTTCTTTAGTTTTGCTAGGTTAGCCTTGAAGCTCAAGTGTAGAGCTAAAGAAGTCTTGGTCAGTTGACCACTTTAGGGCTAAGCTGAAATTTGTGTAAATGAGATTTTTCGGTGAATCATTGCTTTAAGCCACCTCCCATTGAGAGGGGTACATTCTGATCGTGCCTGCCTCTCTTCCTCGTCTGTGTTGCCATGCTGAAATTAGGTCACCAGCATCCAAATGGGACACGACACCCCCTTTCAAGTCAGCAGTAGACTGTAGCATATGCATAAAAAGAGATGTTTCTAAAGCAGAGGATTTCCCCCCATTTTTAAAAAAACAGTCGGCACAATTTTATGCCCTGTCGGATTCTGAATCGATCTGCAGTCTGACCAAAGCTCTTGGCCCCTCACATCTTCTATTTCAGTTGCATTCTAAGTGAGGAAGTCGATACTGCTGGATTAATGTGCTTCCTACAAGGATACATAAAACACGGCACAGCCCTGCCAGCCATATTTGCTTTGTTTTTTCAATGTCTGCGGATTAGTACTGACTAAGCCGTCAAATGAAGAAAGATGGTTTGTGAAACAACTGGGCTGAGGTGCTTCAGGTTGAAATAAAGAAAAAAAATCACGTTGTCAGGGGAGAGCAGCGCACTGTTCAGGTAAATTTTAGTTCCCCAAGGACTGAACGATGTAAATTGTATCCTCAAAGGTACAAAAGATTCACTCCATTCCCAGGAGAAAAGGGTCTGTTTGTCTCTTTTCATAACTTAAAATCAAAGACCTCATTTATAAAGAAATACCTGAATTACATTCTGACTTTATATTTTTCAGATAAGGTATCGGTGTTTGCATACGTTTGATTTATAAAAGCCAGAAATGTGCACAAGTACTTGGGCGAGTAATCAAATACTGAAATCACTGTTCAGGTGTTCATCATCATTCAGGTGTTTTTTTTTCATGAAGACAGAAAATATGGAATCTAACAATTCAATGAAATACCGCTTTCATGTTTTAACAGAACTGTAAAACGAACATTTGCTTGTGTTTTTATGTTATACTTTGCTACTCTAAAATGCGAGTGCCCTAATGTGAGCATATTGCCAAGAATGCATTGTTGAGGATCAGTAGGCAGTGATGATGTTAAGTCAAAAAGCTAGGCTGATTTCCAGAAAGAGTTAAAATGTTTTTCTCTGATCAGTTAACATATTGGAATGTTGTTTACTGAAGGGGGGAAAAACATCAGCTTTTCAGCATCCAGTATTACCGGTTAGCTGTAATTTTAGCTTATAAGCTCACTGGAATCTCTGATATTTGATTCATCTGACACAAAAACCTACCAGTTTTCTTCGACTCTCCTCGACAGCCCTGCATTTATTTCCAAATCCGTTTTTTTTTCTCTTTTTTTTTCGCTTCTCAGCTGTTAACCGGGCATCCGTTCACATAGTCCAATTTGAAAATACTCTGAATGCGCATTCCTAATAACACAATGTTCTTTAATTGTGCAGTGTGATGCTCAGTCTTGCATACCAGACTTCTGCCTGTCCCTTTTTGTCTAAATCATAAAAAAAACACTGCACAGAGGTTTTGTGCACATGAAAGTGTAGATAGAAAATCGGAATGCAACTGACAGAATACCAATAGTTGTGGCAGCTTGGTGTAGAGAAGATATCTCAAGAAACAAAGCATCTAAGACTGAGACAACACCTATAACACCCTGGCACCGTCGTTCGTACAGCAGGTTGAAAACTTGCTTTCGTCTATGCACATTTCCACATCAAGTTTGACATTTGATCGTTTTAAAATCAAATCTGCCTGTATGGATATTTTAGAATATTATAATGACTTATTTAGAGTCAAGCCGCAGATTATCATTATCTTGATATTGCATCACTATGCTTTTCCGAGTACATCATCAGTAACATGAGTACTTGTAGAATACCGAACAGCTGCATGTGTCATTAATAACAGATTTAAACTAAATATAAGGAGCCAAACACTGAATCAAAAAATCCTATCTGTTTTCTTGGAAATGTCTAAGTATCGTGATGTTATTTTTTTGCTACGTTGCCCACCTGATATTTAAGCTTATATTGGAAGGCACCCAGCTTTTTGTTTTGCTTTGCAGGTATTTCTACCTCAGATCCTGTTTACTTTCACTCTCCAGTGATGAGGCCATGATTTCTAAAGTGCTCTTTTATTTGGTCTGCAGTTTGTGTGTGATTGTAATCGGTAATGCTTCATAAATGCTAATAGAGGCTGTGTGTACAGGAAATCAATACAACGCAATGGCAAAGTAGGATTTTCTCTGATGGACCCAAGGCACTCAAAATTCTTCATTAAGATATGCATCAGATTGTTCTAACTGCATTAGTGGTGCTCGGTCCAGTTGATGACAAGATAATTAATACATTATGTTCAAAACTATCTAGACATCTTTCTAATTGGAAAATTCAGCTACTATAAGGTGCACTCATTGCTGACCATTGTATGTACTTTTATATAGAATATGTATTTTGATATAGAAGAACATTGACCGCTGGAATAGGATACTCTGGAGCAGCTGCATATGAGCCTAATGTCACCATGCCCAATGCCAAGCGCCAGCTCCAAGGGTTTAAACCCCTTAGCATTGGGCTGTGGAGCAGTGGAGCTGTGTTCTCTGTGTGATGGTGCTCCATCCAATACCTTTGGGATGAGTTAGAGTACCAGAACTAATCAACATGAGTCACAAAATCCTCACAGTGATGTTTCAGTATTAGTATGAAGCTTTCTCAGACAAGTAAAGGCTGTTGCTGCAACAAAGGAGGACAAACTCCTTATTAATACAGTTGATTTCATATGAAATACAGGACGAGCAGGTGTCTGCAAACTTTAGAACATATAGGGTGGAGCATCTCCATTCTGAAATACTGTGTAGGTTTCCTTCCTGTCCAAAAAACTGACCTATAAGGTATTCTGTTGTAGAGTTTATTTGCTTAAATTGCTGAAAAGGGCATTATGAGACTGGGGTAATTAATAGAGTAGTGAATATTTTTAGTTTTAAATGTCTTTGCAGTCAACTCCTTTGAGAGATTATATTCTTTCGCACAACCTTTCACCGAAGACTTATGTGTTTTCACCAGGCTGCTTTTGAGATTCTGCATATAAACACATCAGTTACACAAATGAGTTCAGAAACTGGGACTGCTGTATTAATGTCTTGATCGTGAGGCAGTGAGTCAGTAAAGAGTAATTTACAGTTCCAAATTAACTGTCAAAATAAATGAAAGAGCATTTCATTAGCTAGTGAGAAACAAATAATGGTATAAGGAGCAAAGCAAGCTCATAAATGTTGTTTAAAAAATGGAAAATTGTAAAGGAGTAAGAGTTCATGAACTCTGTTCACATAAGGCTTTTTCTCAGATGGGATCTAACATAATACTTTACATATACACATTAATGTTATAGACTGCCAGATATTTTACAAATCTTGCAAGTCTGATTTTATTGGTTTATAACCTGTTACGCTTTTTCTTTGCTTAGGAGTGATGAGTTTTTCGTAGAAGACCATCTTCACCATCTTACCCATGCGGAAGACTGAACACCAAGAAAATATGAGGGCAGTGCTTGAGTGAGGTATGAATATTTCTCTTTGTAGAATCTGTCATTTTTGAGACAGTATTTTGTTGTATTTGCAGCTTTATGATCCTATTCATCATGTTTTATCATCTTCCAGCGTAAAACACAGAACTGAAACGAAATTGTTGCAAGAAAAAATACAATAATTATTTTATTTATATAAATATGATACATTTATTTAAGTACGTGGTCAGTCAGTCAAACATATAAGCATGTTTGTATTATTATCATTATCATATCATATAGTGTTTTACCAAATTCAAGTCTTTCTATAACATTTACCTTTTCATTTCATCTCTCATTGTATTGCTACTTTGTTTTCAGCTTATAAGCTGATAGTTGAGATGCCGTCACATGATTTTTGCACTTGATTTTTAGTACTTGAGGCTTTCATCATTGAGAGTAAAAATCAGGCTCCACTGTGAGAAGACAACTTAACACTATGGGTCTGGAAGGATGTATAGCTGATAACTGTCAATAAGCCCTCGCTGAGAAAAGGAGGTAGACAAAAAAAAGAAGTGTTATTGTTAACTTTATCATTTTAATCTCAAACTGAATTTCTGATCCTGTCTGCCTGCTTGAAGGTTGTGAGCCTCTTGGTAATTAAAGGTGCATTTTTAACTTTCAGTGTATTCATAGAGTCGGTTTGAAATGCCTTGTTTTCCATAGTGCTGTGCAACTCCAATTTAAAATGAATCTCACAACAAACTTTCAGACCCATTTAAAATTATGGACTCCCTACAATGTTCACGTAAACAAAACATTGCCAGTGCTAGCTGTGCTCAGGGGACATGTGAAATTATGTTAAGCAATCCAGAGAAATCTGGTTAACATACTTCTTGCATTCTTTTGGACTAGAATGGTGTCACTTTTGTTTACTTGAATGGCTAAAAAGCCTTTGTAAGCGAGACAGTGCAATATTCAGTGTGTACAAAATGTAGTGGAAACACCACTTGATAAAACAAAAAGCCAATCGATTTCTGTACTAAGTGCTGCTTCGGGTATTCTTGGAATGCTTTTATGTATGTGTTTTGAACAGTTCCATATGGGGAAACTGGACCTTTCATTTAGGAAGAAACAGATGCGTGGTCATGTTGTGAAAGATGTGGGCAGTGTTGGTTCAGCCCATCCATTTATAGAAAAACGTAACAGGCTGCTCACTCTCTCTGAGCCCTGTCTTAACACAATATTTAGTTTGATTTGTTTATGTCTGGGAGTAGCGTACCTCTAATTTGAATTCCACCTTAATTAGCCTCTTATTCTCTTTGACATTGCGTATTGTTTTACCAAATTCAGCCAAACCTTTTGTTTTTAACAAGTCTTTGCATAACATTTACCTTTTAATTTCATCCCTCACTGTACTGCTGGTACTTTTTTCAGTTTATACGTTGATAGGTAAGATGCCATCACATGTTTTTTTTTGCAATTGGTCTGTCTGTCCTGGCACCCCTGGATTTGCCAGTTTTTATTTCTTTTAACAGGTTTTGAAAAATAGTTATTCTTGCATTAGCTTGTTGAGGGAATACGCTGGTGTTTTTCAACTGAATCTGCCGCATCCATCGAACACAATCACTTACAATTAACAAAAATGCTGACGCATCGCCCTGTAGGTGTGCTGCATCTGTAGTGAAACTACTTTTAATAATTTCCCTGTACTTAGAACATAAAGCCTGTTGACAAAACACCTTAAAACAAACTTAATAGTACTGTGCCGAAGTCAGAGATTGAGTAGTGTGTTTTTTTTGTTTTTTTTTGTTTTTTTTTCTTCTTCTTTTTTTCTAGAGATATTTCTAAGGAGATTAGCTAAAAGATAATCCATTTGCATAAGGAAGGGAAAAGTGACAGGAACAAAGATGGGGGGGGGGGGCAGGTGTTCCCAAAATGGTTTTTTGAACTATCAAAGCTACAAAAAATGGGGCCCCTAACAGCTGTGCAAGAGCAGACCACCCAAATCATCCAAATCAGATAAACAGTACTTAAAGCTTTTGTCTTTGACAGAGAGAGAGAAGAAAGTTAAGCTTCACTCTTACTTTAGATCTGAAAAAATCCACAGGTGTTTCTGTCCGTCCTTCCACCACTCAACACTATGAGTCTGAAAGGATGTGCAGCTGTCAAGAAGCCCTCACTGAGAAAAGGAAATTGAAGAAAAACAAAGCAAAACATTTGCAAATTAAACAAAGAAACTGCTGGTGTTCTCAGACCAATGGGCTGACCACCATCAACACCCTCTGACCAGACCTCTACATCACTGAATGTGTTTGGGATTACTTGAATCATCAGAAGATGAAGAATGAACATTGGAGGTGTGGAAAAATATCCCTGCAGGTTTCTTTTGAAAAACTGAAGGCAAGTACACTGTAAAGAATGGGAGCTGAAATGAGGGCAAACATTAGAATATGATATTTAGTTGCTGAGCCTTCTAACTTATATTTAATGTCCATTTTAATCAGATAAATTGGGGGTTTTGCAAGGTACTGTGTAATAGTCAAGTCAATTGGCAGGTGCTGAAACATCTTCCCATTCAATTTTGTTAGTGGATTTGAGTCAGTTTTGAGTCAGCAGGTTTTCTGCTCTTTTCTGAGTGCAGACAAATTATTCTAAGTGGTATCGACCGTGTGCTACAGATGCAGTGTACAAAGATTAGATTGAAAAATGTAGCACTATTCCTTTAATTAGCTGTTACTGCTTGTTTTTGCCGGCAATCTAATTACATCCCTGTAGTAGCCTGTTCTCACAAGCAAGTAGCAATGTGATGCTTCGATCCACATAAAGCTGTGGCTGGTGTCATATTCCTGAGATCTAGAATGATTAGGTCGGCATATATTCGATGATGGTCATTCCGTAGCATTGGCATCAAGCAGTTTTAAAAGCTTGCTGGCGCTTTGCCAGTTCAGATGCCTGACTAGCTCGGTGCAGCCAAAATGGACGTATGAGAGTTTTAGAATGGATGAGGTGGAATATGTGAATATGCTCACACAGCTGAAATTTGCTTGTGTGCGCACTGCTAATCATGAGAATAAAGTCTGTCTGTGTACTTAGCAATGGCTCTCACTTTGTCAGGCTCACTTGACTTTCATGCTGTAACAGTGGACCAGCACTGCACATATGAAATGTAATTGGGTGTGTCATAATGCAAATAACCTTAATTATAATTTACTTTTGCAATGAATTAGCATCATTTCTGTGTGGAGTTTGCATGTTCTCCCCGAGTCTGCGTGGGTTTCTTCCGGGTACTCCGGTTTCCTCCCACAGTCCAAAAACATGCAGTCAGGCCAATTGGACGTGCTAAATTGCCCCTAGGTGTGAATGTGTGTATGAATGAATGTATGTCTGTCTGTCTGTCTGCCCTGCGATGAACTGGCGACCTGTCCAGGGTGTATCCTGCCTTCCGCCCAATGACAGCTGGGATAAGCTCCAGCACCCCACCGCGACCCAGAAGGATAAGCGGTTTAGATGATTGATTGTTTGTTTGTATGTATGTATGTATGTATGTATGAATTAGCAATGAATAAGTTAGCAATTTGTATGATGATGCACACTTCAAATTCTTTTTTCTCACAGTCTGATGGACACTATATGCATTTTTGCCACATAGTGTTTGTAATGTACGCATATTGCAATATATTTATATTCAAAATACTGTACAAAAGTCAGAGACCACCATTTTGTTTGTTTTTTTAAATTGTTTATTAATTTTTTTTAATTTTCAGTCAAAATGGTCACTTAGTAGAACTTCATTTTTCAGCAGCAGGAGAGAAAATGCTTCGAACACTAAGTATAAAATCAAATCTGTCAGTATTTTAATTTGTCCACTTTTTACTTCTGTGAACTTCTTGCCACTTGAACTCTTCCATCCTTCTAATCTTAAGACCAACCAATTACAACTGTGTCCTCCCAAAAACAGCTGTTTACGAAGGAGTCACTGACATTACGCTCCTTTTCAAAGAGACGCTAATATTCATTAGTACTTAAGGCTTTCATCATTGAGAGACAGGTGAAAATCGTCCTCCACTGAGAGAAGATAACTCAACTGAAAGGATGTATAGCTGATAGCTGTCAATTAGCCCTCACTGAGAAAAGGAGGTAGACAAAAAAGGACATTTGTACTGGAATACCAGGACGTCCAGGATGTGGAGTAATGTTTTAATGATCTGATGAGTTTAAATTTGTATTTAGATTTTACTTGGATTATTATACTCAGAAAATGCAACCAACTTCTAAGAGTGAACTTTGGTAGTGTAGAAAATTCATCCTGAAAAGAGTGGAAGATGTAGTAAAGGAAAAGTATGAACACTGAAAAATACTGAAAATATTGTTAGTTAGTTGTTGAGGGCTCTGTGTAAATTTCTGTTAAATGTGTGTTTTTCTGCTTATTTTTCCCCCTGACACTAGGAAATAAATTGTACTGAATGAGCATTTTGACTGGTAATTAAGTAAATGAAAGGGTGGTCTCCTACCTTCACGCAGTACTGTATGTGGACCTGCAGTCCCAGACGTTGGATATTTACAAGAATTATGTAATGGTCTATATAAACCCAAAGCATTCATTGAGAATATTGTTTATAGTGTATTCTAGTCTATTGAAGGGTAGCTTTTTATAAACACTATTAACATCCTGCTACTGTCTGCTGAGTTTGACTGCACACATAAAAAGAGCTTTCTTACGTGTGTAACAGGTCTGTGGAGACGTTGCCATTGTAGCTGGGCTAGAAAGTGTGTAACATTAAGAATTGTCAATGGAACCCATGTTTTCTGCAATGACTTTTTGTATTTTAATGAAAAATATTATGATTTTATGTGCGTACAACTGTTCAAAGCTGTGTTGTGCACTGGCTAGTGTTTTTAAGGTTTGCTCAAAATGAGTGAAAACTCTCACTACTGAAACAATCACTATGGAGACATTTGAAGTGTCAGTAGTGTTATGATTGTTTTGGTAGTGACAAAATGGAGTATTGTCATTCACTTTATTAAAATAAACATACAGTATATCATAAGGATTTTAGTCGGTTAAAAGTCCTAAATGTGTTTTAAGCTCTGAATTTGAATCAATTCTGTAGGATGATCTATATACACAGGACTGTGTTTGACCTTGTTAAGTACTTGTGTAATTATCAAAATTGGCAGATTACTTGATTACTAATATAGTTGATTGTGACAGTCCTTATTTTATACATGTTCATATTTCCCAGGCTTCTAAATAACACTCAATTTATTATCTTTATTATTGTTGTTTAATAAATATAGAATTTTGAATAGCGAATAAAGGGTTTGAGAAGCTTGGAAGGAGAACTTTTAAAGGACATGCTGCCTGTGCTTCCTTTTTATTATACTGGATTATATTACACTGGCATTGACACACCCAACGACAGTGAGAGAACGGGACAATGTCAAGGATGCCGTTCACACAGATATTTACTCACTGCCAGTCTATTCAGAAGCCAATTTGTGCTGGTGTTCAAGAGTCTATTCTTGCCTTCTTGTCCTCTCTGCAAATGTGCTTCTTATATTGGGGTCAAGATGAGAGAAGCCATTGAGATTATTTTGATTTCACAATCAAATTAGTTTCTTCTAGAGAAGCATAAAATGGTGAAAGGAAAAATCTGTCCTCACCACAAAAATAGGCTCTGAAATACGATATGTAGTCTTCCACTTAAGCTTTGCACTGCCTTATTGAGTGCTCCAGTGTGCAGAACAATGGTCACACATCACCAGAACAGAACATCAGTAATCTCATACTCAGCAGCCGTAATTTACACACACGCCACTGCATCTCATTCCTGAGAGAGGCGAGCAGTCTGACTCCAGCGCAGGGTCTCTAATAGGAACAGAGAAAAGGTCACCTTTGTACAGGAGCCGCTATCGCATTACCAGCATTTGTACCAGGCCATTGGAGTGATTCCACCACCTCACAAAGCCATATGGAGGTGAATTCTAAAAGGACTACTCCAGCATTTTTCAATATCTGTCTGCTGCCTCTGTAGCATATGGTTTAATACCACGTACAATCATTTCAACACATTTCTCTGTACTTGGAAAAGAGCAGGAGATCCAATGCCATATAACACACTTATAAGAGAAGTAAACAGACAGGTGTTGAAGCAGCTATAGAGCTGAAGAGTGACTGCCAACTTTTACTGGTTCTGGAAGTAGAAATCCCATCAAACACCCAACTGAACCCTCCAGCTATGAGATAAATCCTAACAATGATATGTTTTAAAAACCTGACAAAAATGCTAAGGTATGACTGACTGTATTTAAAAAGGAATGGACTACTTGTCTGACTACTTATGTGTTATGTTTGGCAGGGTTTCTGTTCTTTTACTAAGTTCAGGAAAAAAAGCGCCAAAATTGGGCTCTTTCAGCTAAAACAAAACATAATTTAGTCTGTATCATTTTGTTCTGTACACAGCCTCATTTGGTTATTCATGAGTTGTGGTATATTTGAAGCAAATTTCCGCTTATCAGCTGTGCAGCCATCTAACTGCATTTATTTCCCTTATTTTCATACAGGCTTTTGAACCAGCACAAAGGAAATAATGGTGTAGATGCATTTGTTTAACAGATTATTTTTAGATGGCCCCAGATGACCTTGTTATGGCTGGCTTGACAACATCCTCTCTCTTCACTCTTTTAACTACGTGCCTCCACAGGTATCAGAGAGTGCCAGTAATGTGCCATGGGGTACGACGTCACCAGGTTCCAAGGGGAGGTGGATGAGGATCTGCTTTGTCCTATTTGCAGTGGAGTGCTGGAGGAGCCTGTGCAGGTTGGTGGGGCCCTTTGTGTAAAAGCCACTTCTAAAATAAGGAATGGACTGTAGTCTGTTCCAACTCCAATTTAAAATATGCTGAATTGCAATTTAAAAGCGCAGAGCACACTGATCCACCGTTCTCCAACAAGCACTCAAACGTTTGGTTGGTCGGTGCACTGTACACATTTATTATTGCAGAGAGGCTTTAGAATCCTCTCACATTGTTCTAGAAGGGTTTCCAACCTTTTGCAATTCCCAACCCACGCAACCGACCACAAGAGCTTACGTGGCCCGCTGGAAGATTTAACTGATCCGTTCGGTTTTTCTGACTCACCTAATGTGGTGGCTGATGTTTGGCTGCTACCAAGTGCTGGGTCAGGCTGAAGAGAGGAAACTGAGGTCTGTCTCAATTCGTTAGGCTTAGATGCATTTTTGCTGTGTTTAGTCTTTAAATCGCAGTGTGCATTGTTTAGATTCAACACTTAATTTGACAATAGCTCTGATCACATAACGGAGCAAAAGTCGCTCTTTTTTAGTTCCCACACACATGAAATCTTGCGCTAAATACTCGCTGATTTTATTTATTTTTGTTTTTGGGTTTTCTCACTGAAACATAGTGGCTGTTTCACTTGTAGATGAACCAGCCTCTAGATCTTTCCTTATGAAAGTCCCTGTTAGTGACCATTTATCCATGATGTATGAATTCAATATGATCAGAAAGAGAACATTTTACATTGACTTAAACTAAACATAAACATAACTAGCTAGCATTTTGTCAGACCATTCAGCAAGCTGAACCTATATGTTTCTTGTTTATGAATAATTACCACCACAACAATATTTGTCATATTTAAAGTTATGTTTGGTTTAGATATGTATGTTGTAACAGAAGTTTTGTAGGTAAATAAAATATCTGATGACCAAAGGCCCCCAGCAGAAGGCCATGGCCCGCAAGTTGAAAACCACTTGTTCTTCTTAAATGTTCTTCCCAGTTCGCATTGTTTTAGAATGTTTTCTTTCATTCAACATGTTTCTACTCATTCACATTGTTGTGGAATGTTTTCACAACTCATGTTGTTTTGTAGTCTGCAGCGTGCCCATGTGAGGAACTCTGTGTCTAAGCTGATTTCTCTATGGGTAAAATGTTTTGCTGTGTATACATTTTAACTTGTTAAGGAGCAGAAATAAAAAGTGTTACGTGCAGGTTAACACTGCTGAAATGGCATCATAAGACTGGCAGCCTCTCCAAAATACCCCACACAAACTAGGAAGTTTTGTCAGATATTGTAGTTAAGTTGCTTTGGCAGTAATAGCCTGCAGTTTGACCAGCTGATGTTATGTGTTGAGGTTTATTAGTGCACAGGAGTGGTAGCTTGCATTTAGTGTGCATGTAGCGTTATTTGAATTATGACTGCTAAACAATTTCAGAGGACGTAATGAAGTTGTTGGGGGGGGGGTATACACAAAAGTTCTTAATATGCGAATGATGCTGTCTACAGAGTGACGTAGAACTTTAGAAGTCTATTCTGGAGCAGTGTGGAGAGAGTGTTGGCTCAGTGTGCACTTAAAAGACTGTTTTGAGCAAGATGATCAAGGTTCTGTCTTCGTTTGATGAAACTGAGTTGAGAGTTGTGATCACATGGGGGCCTCACTGGTGAAAAATGGCTTTTAGGATAGTCTAAAATTCTGATTAACATTTGCCTGAAAAGGCAAAAATCCTCTTAAAGGGTCTTTCTTCTCATTTGGTTCATGGTTAAAAAAAAATATTAGCAGTGTGGAGCTCCTGGTATTCAGACTTGCACCCTAATCAGTGTTCTCTCTCTTCTGTATCTCTTTCTCTGTCTTGATCTATGTATCTGTATGTATTTATCTATCTATCTGTCTACCTCTCAGGCCCCACATTGTGAGCATGCCTTCTGTAATGCCTGCATCACACAGTGGTTTGCGCAGCAGCAGATTTGCCCGGTGGACCGCACTGTGGTGACGCTTGCCCACCTCCGACCTGTGCCCCGCATCATGCGAAACATGCTGTCTAAGCTGCAGATCTCATGTGATAACGCGGGTTTCGGCTGCACCGCTACACTGCGTCTCGACCAGCTGCAGTCGCACCTCAAAGACTGCGAACACAACCCCAAACGGCCCGTTACCTGCGAGGAGGGCTGTGGGTAAGTGAGGGTGCAACCAGAGTGCTCCATTCAGTAGCTCATGGGGGACCAGTGGAGGATGGCTGGCATGTTTAGTTGTTCAGAATATACCCACATGGCAGTAGGGCTGCAGCAATTAATCAACAAAGTTGATCAGTGTACTTACTTAAGGGGTACACTGATTTCTGCATAATTCACTGGTTGGGATGTAAGCAAAGTCATTCAGAGTTTGATGTGAAATCATTGTTGAGAAACTTACACACTCAGATTTCAGTGATGGTGATGGGAACCAGGGGTCGTGATATCTACAGTGCAAATATAGCCACTTTATTTACTATCCAAAACAACCAGTAAACCTACACGTGTCTTCTGAGGTTTGATGTAAAATGTTGATAATGGAGAAATAGTGGTAAATCTGAAGACATTAGTTTGCTTTGGGAACTATAACCTGAGTAGATATTAAAAAATACAATTTACGTTAAATCCTTCTCTCACAACTATTATAAAACAATGTTTCAGGCAACAGGCAGCAAATTAATAACAATTTCATGAAATAATAACTCTTTGGGATGTAGCTTGTAGAGGCAGTACGCTCTTCAGACGTCTGGTTCCCTTCACCACTGCTATGAACAATTCTTGCTTAGTAAGTTTCTCTTCAAAAGAGCATTTCACCACAGTCAACGCTGAATTACTTTTATTTATTTATTTATTTATTTATTTTTAAGGGGGATCCCACCAATTTTTCATATTTTCTGCAAAATTCAATCTTTAAGATGCAAACAAAAAAATGTGATCTCGTACAGTAATTCTGACTAATTATATGGTACGTAGGGGTGGGCAATGCGGCACAGTGCATACAGATTTTTTTTTTTGTAAAATATCACAGTATTTTGACAGACTACTAGTAAACTAGTGCCATGTTTGAAAAATTTTCTTCAAAACTCTGAATAACGCCCCCCCACAACTAAATCCAGTTAAACAGGACTAATTTTTCTCTTTATAATGAAGCATACAGTTGGTCAGTGTTTTTTTTTGGTACTAAAGATATGATCAGAGTATTGTTTCACAATAATTTTCACGATAGCGATAAAATATTGTCACATTTCCCACCTCTAGCAGAACACTGCAAGAAATGCAGGAAGTGATAAGGGTTCTTTTGTTTTATTGTAATTCTTGTCTCAGTGACAGAATAAATGTTGAATTAAATGATGTTGGTGGCAAAATGTAAGGAAACCACAGAAAGGATAATGGTTTGATTAGCCGATTAATCAAATAGACAATAGATTAATTGGTTATAGAAATAATCATGAATTTCAGCCTTTCAGGCCTGCGTGAACCGAATAAGCAGATAAGTGCGAATGTGTTAAACTCAACATGCCTGACGCCTTTTCTAGGCTCGAGATGCCCAAAGATGAGATGCCAAACCACAACTGCATCAAACACCTACGAAGTGTTGTTCAGCAGCAGCAGACTAAGATTGCAGATCTGGAGAAGACTGCAGCTGAACACAAGCACCAGCTTGCTGAGCAGGTTAGACTTGTACATATTGTTCTTTATCACAGAGCCATTTTTATCAGAACAGTTCTTTGGAGAACTTGTAGTCAGCAAGTACACTTATAGACACTCCAGCAAGGGCTGTGTATAGCTGCAGCTTCCAAAAAAATATTATAGGATGGGATATAGAAAAGAGTATTGTGTGTGTGTGTGAGTGTGAGTGTGTTGAGTTGACTTTTTTTTTTTTTCTTTATTTTGTGCAGAAACGGGACATCCAGCTCCTCAAGGCATACATGAGGGCTATCCGCAGTGCAAACCCTAATCTACAGAATCTGGAGGAGAGCATAGAATACAATGAGATCTTGGAGTGAGTGTTGCTAATTCAGATGTTTGCCTAGCTCTGACTGCATGTGCTATTAAAAACACGTCTGATTTGGACCAATTATAAGGAATCTATTTGAACAAAAGCAAACCAGTATACATTAGCTGCATAATGATAGGTAACCTTTTGCTGGTTACCCCATTATGGCATTTATTACAAACTTACTCTGTCCATCTATCCTCCTTCGGTTTCTTCTGAAGTAGTTTATTTTTGTGAACGATGAATGAAAGAACTGAATCCTTTTACTTGCAGTTATTCATAGCCCTTTTAAAAATAGCTCTCTTGTTTTGGTTCGCTTTGTCTGTTCCAGCTTGTTTGCAAACTTTGGAAAAGGGAAATGGTTTGATGCATATCATGCATATTATAAGGTTTTCTTTAAAGGGGAATTCCAGCGATTTTACAAAATTTGTGCATAATTAATTGGTTACAATGTGAACATACTCATTCAGAGTGGTTTAATGGGAATTGTTTCGTTCTAGAGAAATTTACCGAGTCAGAATTGTTCAGTGGTGGTGATAGGAACCAGCCATCTGAAGACTTTAATGCTTCTAAATGCTGTATCACTAAAAGTTAAATACACTGCCTGATACCTGAGACATGTTGCAATAGTTTTGAGCAACGATTTCATTTCTTTAATCGATGTTACTTCTAAAAATTTAGAAGACATCTAGATTCATGGGTTGTTTTGGATACTAAATAAAATGCCTATAATTGAATCATGCAGAATTTTTTTGGAAAACTAGTAGTATTTACCTTTTAAGATGCTACATTTTGCCGTATTTTGCCTTTTTTCCAGGTGGGTGAACTCCCTGCAGCCTGCCCGGGTGACACGCTGGGGCGGCATGATCTCCACACCTGACGCCGTCCTCCAGGCAGTGATCAAACGTTCCCTCATTGACAGCGGCTGCCCACTGTCCATCGTCAACGACCTCATTGAAAATGCCCATGAGCGCAACTGGCCACAGGGTCTGGCCACGCTGGAGACGCGGCAGATGAATCGCCGCTATTATGAGAACTACGTGGCCAAACGCATCCCAGGAAAGCAGGCGGTGGTAGTCATGGCCTGTGAGAACCAGCACATGGGTGAGGATATGATCCTGGAGCCAGGATTGGTAATGATCTTTGCTCATGGAGTGGAGGAGATCTTATAGTGGGTACTACAGGAATGCAAAGGGTTGATGAATTTGGGCAGTACTGACTGGATAAAGGGGTTTTACTGTGAGTCATTGTCCCCTCTTAAAAAAAACAAAAAAAACAAATCCTAATTCAGATCCAGTGTCAGGACATGCCTGGCCGTCTTTACCTCATATTTAAAAGAAGTATACCAACACGGGAAGAAAATAACATATATGAAGGAACAGAATCAACTATGAGCTGAGGAAGAGAGCCTCTAGCTGTCCTGTTCTTGTTGCCTTAAAAGGAACATTTTCAAATAGTGAGCCCTGAAGAAAAAGGAGAGCCTTCTCTGAAACATAATCCTTACGATATAATGGGGTTTTATCATGAACGCTGACAAAATGGATTGAAGTGATTGTCTATTTACCCCTTTGCCATTCAATGCTGTCTTTCCTGGACTGATGAGAAAAAGTGTCCAGTCCAGATCTTCTGTAATGTAAATGGTATAATGATGTTCTTTGTAAATATGGAAGATAAAGAAATATAAACATATATGCTATCTATTCTATTCTTGGTATTATAGAATAGTTGTGTTTTGCTGTGTCCATCTCAGTTTGCTGTTTTGAGTGCTTTCAGTTACCCTGAATCTCTTGGCTCTTCGCTTAAAGCCCGAATTAGGACTACTGCACTTAGAGATTTCTGAATAACGGCTGAGCTGTAGAGAATGGGTACATTTACTGTGCTGTCTGTTGGTTAATTTGTCATAAGTCTGGGTCATGACACTATTTCAGCAGTTCCTAATTGAGGCTTTTAAGGCTGTGCTGACTGACCAGGTCAGATAAAGCGTTCTATGCTACCCTGCACAGCAGAGATATCGAACAGAAGGAACACTATATTCTTCAGCATCTGGGAATGTGCAGAGTCTTTGCCAACAGAATAGAGTAACTAGCAGGAGAAAATCTTTGGGAAATTTGATAACTTGATTGCAGTGATGGTTGAGGGCTGCAATAATGTTGCCGGCCTTTGCTCAGCCACTTCTTATTGCTTGAGAGGGTTTTTCTTCCCTCCCCTTACCCTTTCAGTCCGTTTCTCAGTTTTGAGTCTCTCAATTCTCTCAGTCTATTAGGCTCTGCCTGATGGAGTGGCACATGTTCACTTAAGCATTTGCTGGCCAGATCGGATCAGAATAGTATATGGTTCGGTCCAGTTCTACAGCGCCTAGTCTACTACACCTTGTTCTATTCCTGTTGAAACGTTGACTCTGAAAGGACCCCAAGTCTAGAAAGTGCAGCAAAAGAAGTGCAAGAGCTGAGTATCTGAAGTTAACCAACTCTTACATCCAATGTGAATATTTCACTATGTAAGACACCCAACCTATCCGTGCTCTGCAAAAGATGGTCATTTGTCATTATTATTATTATTGTTATTATTATTATTTTATTTTATATATTTTTTTGTCTCACTTGAAGTGTTTAGGGTTTTTATTTTGTGCAATCAGTTCCTCTTTTCAGGAATAGTGATGGATTTGAGAGTTTATTTTGCATATGTTTTATTTTTTTTTTGTCTTGATAATTTTGCTGTACATAGTTGATTTTAAAGAGGGTCTGGTGTAACTCTTGTGCTGCCGTGCTGTCTTTTCTCAAGCAACCAAAGTGTGTTATTGTGATTTTTCTGCTCATTTGTGCTTTTTTTGTTCTGCAAAAATATCAATATGAACTCTTGTATGTTGTCCCATTCTTTTTTTTTTTATTTTTTTTTTTATGATTATTATGAATATTCATATGATGATTATTATTTAGCCCCGAGTGTCATTTATGGTAGCTACTTTCAAATGCTCCAGAGTATAATTTTAGTACTTAACAGGACAGAGAATGTCATTGCTTAGCAATATTCAACATGAACCATGGGGGGGAGGAAAAAAAAAGTGTGGAGAAACAGCTGCACCTCGTTGCAGACTTTGCCTTATAAGCCGTGCACTTCGTTCAACACTAAATGTATATTTGACCTCCTTCATTTTTGAAGGGTGTCACATGGCTCACTTACACTGGTCATCTTGGTCTCTGCATCAACTCTGCTCTTAAATCGTAAGCCTTTCAGCAGATTTCACATTTATTATCCTACATATTACTCTTGATGTTTTAACCAACTGCACAGGGACACTGAGCTCAGTTTTCACGGTTTAAGTCTCTGAAGAGTGGTTTGACACATGCTGTATTCATCCACTTTCACTCAGTACAGCATGTTTCTTAGTCCTGAAATGAAGGTACAAGCATTTGGATGTGATGGTAATTTTTCCCTTTTTTTTTGTTTTTTTGGCTGTTACGGGAGAATCACACAGGACCTGTAAGACCACTTTAGACCTGCAGGATTTATCTTGTGATCATGTCTTGTCGTGTCTTGTCTTTTCGGAAGTGAACTGTTCGATTTGGGAGACTTCTCGCAGTGTCGTCTTCTGTGGACGTGACGCTTATTCCTTCGTTGCTAATTGTCTTTCTTCTGGCTTTTGTGCTGTGGGATATTGACAATATTAATAAACAGCAATGTTTATTTCACAACATAACACCAGCCTCTCTATGCTATTGTTGTTATTGAAATATACTGTATTATATTTGGTGTTGCACTGTCTAGCAACCCTGTTGTGCAGTTTAAAAGCTTTCAGGGGGCATCATGTGCTTTGTGACCTGACTTGGCCTTCTGCTTTTCAGCAGTTCTTCCCCTGTTTTACCACAACATGGCACCAAAGTGCTGCAATAGCATTTTCTCAAACAGCCTGCTTTTCTAAGATTTCCTGATTACATCTCTTTCACTGCATTGTACCCACGCTAGAGTAATATTTCAGACAGGCTTTCATGATCTCACAAACAAAGCCTTGTAAGCCATTGGTATGTCTACATGTAGGGCTTTTCTGATTGCTTTCTATTGTATTTTATTCTACTTCTCATCTCTCAGGCTCACTTTTAGCACACACAAACAAGCATAATCCCCTCTTGTTTGGTATTTGCTTTGGCCAGCCTATACTCAAATGGAGCGAGCCATTTTAATCCTCCCTTTTGTGTCACTGTATGGACTGGAATGCCAGTGTTGTGTGAATGTCTCCATCCAGCCACACTTCTGACTGCACTCTGTAAACATATTGACAGGTTCCTGTCAAGATGATACACGATATTGATTTATCGATAAGCCAGATGAGCACAACTCAAAGCCTGTGGGTGGAATTTTTTTCATCATTTGCTCCAAACCTACAACAAATGCACGAGCTCTTGCTATTAAGAAAGGTATTCTGATAAAGCAGTCTGTAATGATTCTCTGTTGCTTACTGCGTCTGATAACCGTCTGATGACATTAGCCCACATAGGGTTTGCTATTCAGACACGTCCACAGCCTTATCTGTTTGCGCCTGCTGGAATAACTTAGCACTTTTTTTCTAGTTTCAGAGACTTCCAGAAAGTTCAGTTTAGGGTTTTTTTTCCAGTTCATATAAAAGTTAGAATGTGGAATAAGAAGTCCCCGTAGCTGAGGAGGCGTTCTGTCAAAATGTTGATGAAATTCTTGTCTTACAATACATTACATTAGCACATGTATTGTTTAATAGCACTTATCAGTTTCAGCAGAGCTTTTGTTATCTAACAAAAGAGAATAGACTCCCTGAAAGTGCAGTTTATTCAAATAAAAGCATTTTAAAAAGTGGCATAAAAGCCTTTACTTTTCCAGTTTCCAGAATTTAATGCCAGAGAAGCTTTTTGTGAGGATGATTAATTAGGAATGGCATGGATTCTTCAAAATTGTGGGCATAATTTGTAAACAAAGTGGTTTGAAATGTGTGAAATGTATGAAGCCCTGCAAGTGACATCCTATAGAAATAAATAATGCATGACCACTGCATATTAATGTGTGGGAGCAAGATCGTAATGTGTGGCCACAACTTAGTAAGCCATGGGAATGGGACCATGCCTTGTTAAATTATCTCATTGCCACGCCTTAAGTCATGGCCATGCATTTGATCTCGTTCCCACGCCTTACAAAGTCATGACCACAACTTTATTATCTTGTTCACACACCTTACTAAGTTAACACCACACAGTTTTATTTATATGGGTTGTCACCAGCAGGCCTCTGTAGAAATGCTCCATTCTAGAGAAACCTTGTCAGAATTACTCACAGTGGTGGTGATAGGAACCAGACATCTGCAGCGTTTAATGCCTCTAAAAGCCCCCTACAGAAAGTTATTACATGAGATGGTTAGGAATATGCTTCCTGATGTCCTGAGGTTTTTTTTCTAATAACTTTTAGAGAAGGTCTTGGCCCCCCAAAAATGTTTTTATTTTGCCATTATCACCATTACATATAAAAACTCTTGTAGGAATTATGACCCCTGGTTCCTATCACCACAACTGTAAAGAAATCTGAGGCAACAAGTTTATCTATAAAGAACCACCTCACAACAACCCACTGTGAATAATTTTGTTCACATCTCCATGACTGAATAATTTAGGAATTTAGCAAAATGGGTGGAGTTCCCCTTTAAAGGGTATTGAGAGCTATGAATGCCTGAACACTTAGCATAGCTTAGGATTCTTTTACGTTTCCATGAAGTTCAGTTTAACTACATGATTTTGAGGACGGCTAAATATGAAGTGGAACTAGAGGTGGGCAATATGGTAAAAAAAAAATAATAATGTTACGATACTTCAAGACTTTCTCACGATATAATATATTCATCACGAAACGGCAAAATAGAACCTGCAGTGCCACAGATACAAATACTGAAGTAGTACAAACCACAACTACAGTGACTTTTACCAACTGCTGTGCTAAATCCAGTTAAACAGGTTTGATTATGCTCGCTTGGTAATTAAACATGAAGTCAGTGTTTTCAGAAAAGCGAATAGTGACATAATGTATCTCGATAGCTATACTGTCCACCCCTAAGTGGGACTAAAGCGATGTTGACATGTCGACATTTTTAAGATTTTTCCCTCAGGGGAGATAAACCGTTATTAGCCGGCGGTGTGAACGGTTTGTTGTTTGCTAACGTTGCGTGAGATTCACACAGCGCCGGTTCAGTGCTCTCTCGGGCTTCTCACTCTTTCTCTTCTCTTCTTTTTTCTCCTCCCTTCTTCAGAGTTGTCGAGGCGGTGCTTTTGACTTGGGAGTGTCGAGCTGGGCGTGTTTGACAGTCAGTGTTTTTTTTACGCCATTCTGTATGGACTACACACGCACAAGTCTGCATTTTTCTCTCCGCTCTCTCACGGTAGTCCTCGTTCGTGGCCGTTAACTTGCTCCTTTCGGTCTGCCAACTAAAACTTGTGGCCATTTTATATCTCTGTCATCTCTCGGAGGACGAGATAAGGCTTATCGAGAAATCAGGGTAAGTGTTTTGGATCGTTCCTGCTGTTTTATAGTGTCCAGCGCTGCGAGAGAAGTCGTGTTCAGCCTCTGCTGTGGGTTGTACTGAAACTAAATGGATTCAGAAGAGCTTAGAGGGAAAGTAGAGCTGGCAGAAATGTTCACGGTCGTGATATATAGTGCACTTCTGCTGCGCTCAAGTGTGTTTGGTAGCTATGTGCTTTAAGGGTGGAACGATGCACGTACTCGATACGGTTTTCAGGTTGGATATTGTGTCTTGATTCTGCAAAGCTCTCATTTAGGCTACTGTACACACGTATGCAATAGACAAAAGCAAATATGTTTCCATATATAAGTTTGAATATATATTTACATACATTTGTGATGTGTATTTGATATGTAAATATTAAAATTGGACATATACACTCATCAGCCATCTCCTTGTGTCTATTTCATCAGCTCCACTTACCATATAGAAGCACTTTGTAGTTCTACAATTACAGACTGTAGTCCATCTGTTTCCCTGCATACTTTGTTAGCCCCCTTTTACCCTGTTCTTCAGTGGTCAGGACCCTCGCAGAGCAGGTATTATTTAGGTGGTGTTATTATTTCAGCACTGCAGTGACACTGACTTGGTGGTGGTGTGTTAGTGTGTGTTGTGTGTTAGTCGTGTCCACTCACTGTCCACTCTATTAGACACTCCTGCCTTATTGGTCCACCTCGTAGATGTAAAGTCAGAGACGATAGCTCATCTGCTACTGCACAGTTTGTGTCGGTCATCCTCTAGTCCTTCATTAGAGGTCACTAGATGCTGCCCACAGGATGCTTTTGGCTGGATATTTTTGGTTGGCGGACTATTCTTAGTCCAGCAGTGACAATGAGGTGTTTAAAAACTCCAGCAGCACTGCTGTGTCTGATCCACTCAGACCAGCGCAACACAAACTAACACGCCACCACCACGTCAGTGTTACTGCAGTGCTGAGAATGATCCACCACCCAAATAATACCTGCTCTGTGGTGGTCCTGTTGGGGTTCTGATCATTGAAGAACAGGATAAAAGGGGGTATGCAGAGAAACAGATGGACAGTCTGTAATTGTAGAACTACAGAGTGCTCCTGTATGATAAGAGTGAGATACAAGGTGTACTTAATAAAGTGGCTGGTCAGTGTATGTTCACATATTTGCATGTGTTTATATATTCAAAAATGGCACATGTAAGTATATTTAGCACATATATATTGAAATATCATATATATTCCACATGTATTGCACATATTTTCAAACTAAGAGCAAATGTATGTATCTTGAATGATGTTTAGTGTTTTATTTTTAACTCACAGCTCTCAATGACAAATGGTGCAGCTCTCAAAAACAAATGGTGCAGCTTTAGCACAATAATTAATTTCTATTAGCAAAAGTCACAATATAAACACTATTATTTACTCTTTAACAGGCCAAACTAGATTTTAAATCCTTGAAATGCAAAGTGAGTTGCCTGATTAAATAACATGAATTAAATAAAGTGCTACTTTGATAGTAAGAGGCAGCTGCTATTTAGCTCAGTGACTCATGCATAGTTATGCTACGACATTTTGGTACAGGTGTAGCACGAGCATTCAAATACAGCACGAGTGCAATCCTGCCACACATTATTTACAGCATGAAACTGCAACACAGATCGGCCAGAATAAAAATAAAAAAATCAGCCCATCACATGTTTGGATCTACCGATTCTGATCGTGTGTTGATTGCAAAGTAGCATGTCATTGTGCAAAAGAGTGATCTTATTAAACAGTGCAGCTGAGTTACCACCAAAATAGTTTGATTGTTGACAGCTACAAAAGGTGGTAAATGATAAACTTTATTATGAGATAATATTTTTTCTACACTTTATTGCAATGGTTCTCAAACCAGTTCTCAGGGCCCCCCAGACTCAATTCAATCCCAACTCTCCCCATTTAGGGTTAGAACAAGAACATAGACCATCTGGCGGTCGCCGAGGACCTGTTAGAGAACCACTGCTGCATTGAAATTGTAAAGACTTGTTTTACTTCTTTTGCTCCCCTGAGCTGTTGTGATTTTTCTGTCATGACTTGGTTTTATTTGGCTGGTGTTGGATATGTCATGACATTTGCTCTCACATTTGTCACCGAAAACCCTTCTCAAGTAAAATCTACAATGCTGCACTTTCTTCTTACCCTTTCTGTTGTGAACGTTCCATTTAAACTTGGAAAGCCTAAAGCGTCTGAGCTGTGAGGAGTTCGTAACTTATTTGGGTGTGCCAAGGTCCACATTCAAAGTAGTGTGCAAAATGTTAAAATACTATAAAGCAGACTTTGCATGCTGGTGTATATGTGATTATATTGTACACAAAGCACAATATGGACCAGTTTGAACTTGTGTGCTTGTGCTTTGTTAGTGCTGGATCCTTCTGTTTAGTTTGTTACTGGGGTATCTTGAATAATAATATCAGTTTCTGTCAGAGCTGTGGAACAGCACCTAGCGAATAAAGTAAATGTCCCAGATCCTTCTCACCATGCAAGATGAAGGGATTGCATAAATTGCTGTATGAAATCCAGTCAAGCAAAAAAATCGATATAAAGAGTTTATGGAGTGCACAGTGCTGTATCCTACATATTTCTAATATGTAATTTTACCCATAATGACATTTCTGTGGCTAGATAGATAGATAGATAGATAGATAGATAAAAAGACAGATTTGTTTTATATACATGAGAGCACTAAGTGGTATGAGGTACTTTACAACACAATGAATATATGTGTTGTACCAAAAACATCATTTTTCATGACCATTTTCCAACCTGTCTTTATCCTTTAAACAGGCTATTTTGGTTACTACGCCTTTAAGACTGAGCTGTGTTCTGATTGGCTGTGCCTCTTTCAAAAAGCAGTTGGACTGAAACACTCCTTATAACTTCTGTGTTGATTTTTGTGACATCGCAAAAGCAGTGAATTCAAAACGGGCTAACAGTGCTTACATCAAACACTTTTATTTAAAAAAAAAAAGTGAGGAAATGTGGTTTTCCATGGAATGGGGCCTTAAAACTTGTTTTCTTCCGAGCTGTAGCACACCGAACAGCAGGATGTCTGAGTGAATCACTCAGACAAGTTCGGTGGTAAAAAAGTTTCAGAGTTTTCCTTCTTCCTCCTCCTCCGCTTTGACACCCTTTTGGCCAGTTACAGAGCTGTGTTTTTTTTTGTTTTTTTTTGCAGTTGTTGTCATTTAAAACATGTCTTGAGACAGTGATGGAAAGAATGTCTCTGGTCTGCTTCATTTTTACTGCGTGTTTATGCTCCCCTTTCCCTTCTCTGACACATTAAACCTCTGGAAAGCTTTCAGAGATATTATGAACGCATTTAGCTCACCTAAATAAAGGCCTAATGATGATCGTCCTCTTTCTTGTCTCTTTGAGGAAATCCTGACCTTCGCACATTTGGCCGGTCAATAAAGAGTGATTTGCCTGTCACCCATTTATACTTCTGGCTTCATGGAACGGAAAACCGTCTTCAAGAATAACGCTGAGGTTTTCCTAAAACTGTGGACGTTTTTTAACTGGCTAACCACATTACCCAAATGGCACAATGGAAAATCCGCCTTTTTTGTGAGGGTTATTTGGGACAATAATCACTGTCCCAGAGATCCTTCCCACTTGCTTGAGGCTGGACATGATCTTATTATGTGTCTAAAATTGGAGTAATGGTGCTGGATTTAGAAGCCCCCAAGAGGTCTTTAAATCCCTACTGGCTCCAGTGGTGCTTCTAATCAGGTACAATCAGTATTAGTGTAGTTATGAGTCAGTTGACCACTATTACCACATTTTATAGAAATGCTTGATATATGAAATTCTGAAGGGCATTCTAAAGTATTCGAGCTGTGGCATCATCAAATATATAAATACACAATGTTACGTGTAATGGCGGTTTGCAGGGAGCTCATTTCCTTTTTTTTCTGGTTTCACTTTCCCCTCACTTCTTCTGGGTACAACCAAGAATAGTATGATACAGGATATGTTCAGGAGCAGTGCTTGAAATGATGCATGTACAGTCGTATGCAAGGGTTTGAGCACCTCCTGTCAAATTACGTGTTTTGTTGATGTTCTTATATTTTCTAAAGAGAATATGTTAGAATATGTACAGAAATTGTAAAAATAAATTCAGCAAATAACCAGTAATTGTACTTCAAAATGTGCAGCTCTCTGAAGAGGATCTGTACTTATTATTTGCTTGGAAAAGCAACAAAACGTCATTTAAACATAAATGTTTGCATATGACTATATTTTATTAATGATATAATATTCAGACTGGTTTGACTCCAAAAATGTTGCATTTTATTTTAAAACGCAAAGTAAAATCGCACAAGCGCAAAACAGTGGTCATATAAAAGTGAGGTACCATGCATATAAAACTGAGTAAAACTAAGCTACAAACATAAAAACTATGTCATATATTACAAGCATGTTGTCACCATCAGACAAAAAACCTTGTAACTCCAAATGGGCGACTTTATAGGAGAAGGCAAAAACATTAATAACTTTTGATGAAAGTCAATGTGAGAAGATTTCATTACAAGTTATTTTGGACCAGTTCTGTTGGTCCATTCCTCATGAAATTTTAACACAATGCAAAGAGCAGCTGGTGCTTTTGCATTATTTCAAAAAATTTTAATCGACAAAAATTGAGACACAGTTTTCTTCTAAAGGCGACGATATTCCAATTTTCAGCCCTCCATCATCATGTCATAAGAAGTCTTTGTATTAAAGTAAAATGTGTATTAAAATCTGCCCTGCGATGGACTAGCGACCTGTCCAGGGTGTATCCTGCCTTCCGCCCAATGACGGCTGGGATGGGCTCCAGCGCCCCACCGCAACCCAGAGGGATAGGCGGTTTGGATGATGTATGTATGTATGTATGTGTATTAAAATCTTGTATTAACTAGAGATGAAGATGTGATGACAGTAGTAGATTCTCACATCCTTAGAAGACACGTCCCTCACCAAGTTT